CTCCAATATTTGGGAGGGATTTGGAGTAGAGCCACTTCTCCTCCAGCTTGTGTGTGTTGGGAGACTCTTTGAAGTGGCTTGCTTTAAACACATAATTCCTAAAACCAAGCAATAATAGAAAACGGACTGGGAACTACAAGATGTGGCTCGCAGGCTGCGTGTTGGGTACTTTTACACTAGAGCGGTATTCTTATGTTTATGCCTAGCTTCAGCTTCTGGGATTTGTCTGGATGTTCAGCTCTAAATATGGTCAACACATCCAACCAGTGGCTGTGTGTAGGCTTAAATTAATATTTTTATAATTTAATAACTTATATATAAACACTTAACCTTGTGTCTGAACTGGGACTGGGAGATTGGAGTTTAAACCCCAGTTGGACCATACCAAAGACTTTTAAAATGGGACCCAAATGCCTCCCTGCTCGACACTGAGCTTTAAGGGGTTGGATTGGGGGTTTAAACCATGAAATAGTTTCCTAGCTGAGCCACAGCTGCAGCTCACCATTCCCCACGAGGATGGGTCAATTGTGGAGATTTAATTTCACCATTGCCATGGATGCCATGAACACGTTACTCCTGTCTTGGCAGCATTGCATTGGTTTTCCATAATTTTTTTATTTTGCAAAATGTTTAAACATGATAAATGGCCCACACCCGTATAGCACTTTTCAGAGTCAGAGGATTCCAAAGTGATTTACGCTATACAGTGACTACAGTGACACACACATTCACACATTGGTGGTGATGAGCTACATTGAAGCAGCAGCTGCCTTGGGGCACACTGACAGAGCTAAGGCTTCCGAGCACAGGCAACACCAGTCCCTCTGACCACCACCAGCATGGAAAGGGAGTTGCTGCTGCTGCTGCTGCTGATGATGATGACAATGAGGATGATGATGATGGTGTTGATGAAAATGGTGATAATGATGATGATGAGGAGGAGGATGATATGGATGATCATGATGATGAGAATGCTTAGGATGTTGAGGATAATAATGATGGTGATGAGAATGAAAAGATAATGGTGATGATGATGATGATGATGATGATGACAATAATGATAATAACGATGACAATAATGATGATGTCAATAATGATGATAATGATCATGAAGATGATGATGAAAATGATTACGACATAGAGGACAATAACGATGGTGATAACGATGAAAAGATGTTGATGACGATGATGATGACAATCATAAGGACGGTGACGACAATGAAGATGATGCTAATGATGATGATGTCGTTGGTGAGAATGATGATAATGATGAGGAGGATGATAAAGATGATGATGATGATGATAACAACGATGAGGAAAATTATGTCAATGATGATGACGGCAATGCTGCTGCTGACGTTAACTATAATGATGAGGATGATGATGATGATGATGAGGATGATGACGACAATGAAGATGATGATGATGACGTTGAGGATGATAATGATGACGTTGATGAGGATGTAGCGATAAATATAGATTTATATCTATGTGTGTCAAATGTGGTGTAGATTTATCTTGTTTAGTCATTTATAATCTTATGTTAATTCATTGGGGCACCACCAAGTCTTAGTGTGAACTTGGAACACTTGAATTGATATTCAGATTTTTTCTATGTAATCAGTCTCAAATTTAACACCACAAATGAACCTAAAGGATGAATTCTTGCCAGAATACGCCGACTATTCTCGAGATCGCTAGAAATGATCAGACGTTATTTACGTTTGTGAGTTTGTTACAAACATCAGTTAATACATTGACAAATGGATCAAACATATCTTATAGTTTCATGCATGGAATTAAGAAAATGGTTAAACCCAAAGCTTTATGCCAGTGATACGAAATAACTGATCTGTAATAAAAGTGAAAATTTGGTGACACACAAGGTTATAGTAGAATGGGGAATAATTTTTTAAGGGGAACAAGTAAATTTTTATGGAAGTTTATGGGGAGTGGTTGAGTGTGTGTGTGTGTAGGTGTGTGTGTGTGTGTGTGTGTGTGTGTGTGTGTGTGTGTGTGTGTGTGTGTGTGTGTGTGTGTGTGTGTGTGTGTGTGTGTGTGTAAGCAAATAAGGGTTCGTTGTTGCAGGTAAAGAAGGATAAATCTTGAGAGCTAACATGAATTTGGATCGAAATAAAACACGCCATAAAATGGGATATTCTGAATTCACTAATCGGCTTAGCAGAAAAGTCAGCCAGATGCAATGATTCACAGACCTTTTTCCATCACCAGGGGTGACCAAAGGGCTGAAACAGCCAGAGGAGTCCTTGCTTGTGTGAAGCCTTCTGGGACAATAGGATTTTTGACCCCCAAATCGGTCAACGTAGTCTTCCGTGTGTTCAGGAGAATCTTGTTCCTTGGGAGTGGCTTTACTTTAAGGTTCCTTCACTTCAGCTGCGCCAAGAATGTGGAATTCAGAGCGCAAGTCCAAATGATCAAAACCGATGCTGAATCAGAAAAACTGCTCCAAATTAGTTTGACTCTTACTGTGAAAACTTTACTGGACCAAACTAACTTCCGGTTTGACGTAGAAGGTCTAACAAAAACAAACGGAGTTGCCGCTGAGTTTTACCGTAATTTTTGAGAGCTAATGACTTAAAAACTTGGAGAGCGACGGCGTTGCTAGGCGAGATGGAAAAGCCTAGCAGGGATTTGCTTAAGGCATCCTTTTGTTCTTTTTTCTGCCACCACGAGGTTTGAACTCTGATTTTATAAACTTTCTTGGGCACGCCCACATATATTTCACTTATTAACCACTAGATGGCAGTGTGGCTCTTTTAAATAAACTCTACCTTTCCAACAATGAAAGGTCCATAATCACAATTTACCAAAGTTATCCATATAAGGCCTCAAAAAGTATTACTTTAAACAGAAAAGAACTAAATTTATGTCTTAAGCTAGACTGTATTACTCTTAGCATGAATTTTAACTGGTGAAACAAAAATGGCAGAGGTTTAACATAAAAGAAAAAAACACAAAACAAGCAGTTAGGTTTGTAACTGAGAAGAGTTTAAACATTTACTTTGAACACCTTGATTTTTAATGGTGAACAACCTAAAACACATTTTGACTGTGGATGAACAGAAATACCAGGGTTTTGATAAAGACTAAATTCTGGAGCCTTCCAGAACACACCCTGAGAAGTTTTACGAGCACCCAAGTCTTAGGTGAGAGTCAGGTCTTGGCAGGTTGACATAGAACAGACCAGTTTCTGATATCGTCTTGCTTCTCCGATTGGTAAAGGAGGGAAAAACAAGTCACTTGGTAAAATTTATGTCCCTGGGAGAAGGTAGGATTTAGCCAGATGTGCTGGAAAGGGAATCTTGGAATTTATATGACTACAGCCAATTTCAAATCCCCCCTTTTTGCAGTGTAAGGGAAAGAAAAGCTTTGTGTGTAATAGCCGTTTTGTTGTCCTTCTTCTTGTGAATCCAACGAAAGTTAATCTGAGAATATGAAATGTGGATTTCCGCTACAAGGATGATGATGATGATGATGATGATGATTGGGATGGGGATGATTGTTGATGAGGATGATGACAACAATGAGGATGATGATAATGATGAAGAAGGATGATGATGATGATGAGTATGGGATGATGATGACAATGAGGATGATGATGATAGGGATGATTATGACATTGAGGATAATTATGATGATGATGAGGATTATGAACGTGAAGATTATGATGATGATGAATATGACTACCATGATGATGATGATGAGGCTGATGACGATGATCATGATGAAGAGAGAGAAAGACGTCAACAACAATGATAATGATGAAGAGGATGATGATGATAATGATAACGACAATGACAACAATGATAATGATGACAATGACAATGATGATGATGACATTGATGATGATGATGATGATGATGATGATGAGGATTATATAGATGATGATGACAATGGCTATAATGATGACAATGACAACGATGAGGATGATGACGATGATAATGACGATCATAATGAAGACGATGATGATGACTATAATGATGACGGTGACAACGATGAGGATAATGACGATGATCACAATGAAGATGATGATGATGATGATAATAATGAAGACGATGACGATGATGATAATAATGATGACGATGACGACATTGAAAATGATGCTGATGATGATGATGAAATTATTTCATTGTCAAAAATACATGCTGTTCACCTGAGTGGACAGGTAAGAAATATTCTCACAAAATCCATATTTTATAACAGTAAAAAAAAAAACTAAAACTAAATTGAACTAAAACACTGAAACACATGACTCATCCATTATAGTGTTTCCATCAATTATTTAAAAAAAATAAATGACATCATTTCCCGCAAACTCACAATGATTCTTTAAAGGAGCTCAAGCAAATTAAAAGTATTTCTTTGAATTGATTTTATGCTTGAGCTCAGACTAAGTAGAATGAACACAAGTTCTAATAGTGATTTCAAAGAAAATGAAAACAATACAGATACAACATTTGTTTCCAAATACAATGACTGATACAAGCATTTAGACTTTCATTATATGTTTCGTCATTTGACTAATGCTTTATTATGCTAATTTAACACCACGAATGCTGACTTTGTGCAAAATATTTGTCAAAGTTGCAACAAAGAAGCTTAGTTGCTTCAGTCAGATTGTGGAAATAATCATAGAATTGTAAATGTTAAGCTTCGGTGTAACAATCCTTTTACAGAAGACTCAGTGTGACATTTGTCTAAATTATTGGTTAGAGGGTTTGTTCACTCATTGACTTTGTCAAACTGCATTCAGACTGAAAAACCATAAACTAAACTTCTGGGATCGCAACTGTGAAAACAAAACTGTTTATGGAATTTGGTTTAAGCCACTTGATGGTATGAGAGGAAAAACAAAGAGGTGATATGAGGAAAAGACGTAAGCAGACATTGACTGGATGAAGGTGAGTATTACATAGAAAATGGGAGCAAAAGTGGGCTGGGACAGAAGGAGGGGTTGTGTTGATAGGAAGGAGAGGAAGGCAGGCTAAATCCTCATACCATTATTACCCGAGCGCACTTGCAGCCCCTCCTGTGATGGAGTGAGAGGGGGGAGAGAGAGGGAGAGAGATGGAGTTACAGAGCGAATGGAAAGCAGGATTACTGGTGTGACAGCACAGGCAGATGAGTGGCAGTGCAGCAGTGAGGGAAAAACTCTGGAGGAAAAAAACCAAAAAAAAAAAAACCAAACAAATCAGTGCAACAGGATGAGGACCTGCTAGTGCACAGCCGCCCGACCTCACAGAGCTGCCATCTGTCCCGTTATTTTCTCTGTGGTCCTGACGCTTCCAGCATCCAACAACATCTGGATCACCTCACATCCATATGGAAAGGAGGACAAGACAGGGGACAACCAACCCAAATCTTCTCTCCCTCCCTCATTTGTTTGGGTAACTGAGGACCTGAGTAGCATTGTCACTAAGGAGGACCCTCACAGAGGACTCTTATCTGGACCAAAGGAGGGAAACTTTCGGCAAACATGATTTGGACCTTTTTGGGTCTATATGGAAGGTTTTATAAGTTTCCATAGATCTATGAGTAAAGAAAAACAGGTAGGAGGTGGATTGGGAGAATGGAGAAGAGGGGAGCATCACTGTCACCACTGATGAAATGTTCCTGATGTTTCTTCCTGTTTCACTGAGGAAACATTTTATCACTCTCCCTCCCTCTTCAATTTCCCTTCTCTCTTCCGAGCAGCAGGGAGCCTGAAGGATACAGACGGAGGACCAAAAACAGCTGGCTGCCACACACAGACCGCCTGCTGACCAGGACTCCCACACCTCTTGTCTTCTCTCAACCCCCCATCACTTCCCCTTCCTGTCCCATTTTGATGCCCCGTGCTCACCTCCGCGACCACTTGTGAATGTGATGCATGCAGAAAAAGAGACAGGGAGCGGAGCAGCCAGACAGAGAGGTCTTTGGAAAAAGAGGGAGCTAACATACATTTGCTGTCACTCTGAGAAGTCCTCCAGGGGAGTGAGCCGATATCAAAAGCTTCCACACATACACAGAGACACTGATAAACACTCTCGCACGGAGAATCTGTGTAAATGTGGACTCCTACAGGTGCTGGGAGGGGAGAGAGGCAGGTGAAAACCGGGTAAAATCAAAAAGAAATTCGAGGATCACGATGGAGCAGCAGGAGTTTGAGCTGGATGACAGCAGAAAGCTCAGGTAAGTCTGTCTTACATCACGCCTCAGACACATATCTACACCATAATCCATCACTTAATCTGATCTATTTCCAGAAACCCAAATAGCAGATAAGTGGCAGTAGGGATAGATGAGAGGATAAAGATGGAAGCAGAACGAGTAGTCACACTTTCAGGTTCCATAAGTGACGAGTTTCCTCGAGAGAAAGCTTGCATCTGTTGCTGACAGAGAGAGAGAGAGCAGCGAGAGAAACCATAAGAAACAATATTAGTACTGTCTACACACAGGTTTACTTCTTATTTTTAGTCCAGATGTGTGTGTGTGTGTGTGTGTGTGTGTTTGTGTGTGCATGTTTCACCTGTATGATTGTTTGTCTATCTCAGCTGTGTTGTACTCTTGAATCATAATCTGAAGATTATAATATGTATTTGTTGCCCAGCTCTCTGCTCCAATATCAATATATGATGCTCAGTCAGCCGTTTGTCCATGAACCATTGGATCCCAATGAGAGGTCCCGCCCCCTTCGACAAATGGTTAAAGATGATTTAGTAGTGCCTTTTGCTGCAAAAACATAGAATAAAAAAATGGTTTTGACCATCAGGAGGCTGACTAATTTTTTTAACTGCTGCAGTTTGTGTCATGATCACACACTGGTGAAATCATATCTCTGCATCTGACCCGTGGGGAGCAGTGCGCTGCAGCAGTGGCTGCACTCAGGAAGTATTTGGTGGTTTATCCCCCCAATCGAACCCCTTAAAGCTGAGTGTCAAGCAAGAAGGCATTGGGTCCCATTTCTTTTAAAGTCTTTGGTATGACCCAACCAGGATTTGAACCTCGATCTCCCAGTTGCAGGACAGTCACTGTACCACTAGGCCACTGAGATGGCTTTTAACTAAAGACTAACAGCAACTTCAGAAATTTTATCCAAAGTTAATAAAAAATGTGAAAAATGAATAATTTTGTAACATGTATCCTAAGTGAGATGCAACTGCTCTTGTCCTTTAGAGTTTATGTAAAGTGTGAAATATACGTAACAGCCTGCAGATTTGCTTCCTCGTAATAACAGATGTGTATTGGTGTCAAATTGTTCACTAACCAGAAAAAGAGTATGTGACATTGTGTATTGTTTACTTTATACTTCAAAATGTAGAAATTTAGTAAATCTTGGGATGAAAAATTATTACTGAAACAACAGAATATCACAACACAGATAGGAGACAGGAAGTGCAGCTTGTTTACATAAGCTTATAGAAAGTTGTAGAGCTAATGAGTTTTCCCCAGGAAATGATGCATTACAAAAGTCTGGTTTCAGACAGAAGAGAGAACATACTTATACAAGCTCAGAGTTTATCAGCACACAGAATGATGATGCCAGTCTTGTCAGGAACACTGGAATTCTGTATCAGTGGAAAGTGCAGCTTGTCAGAAATGGTACATTTTATCCAAGGAAACTGTTGCTGCTGTTTGTCCCGAGATAAAAGATGATCATATGTGGTTTATATATTACTGTTTACTATAATTAGTTTTACCAGCTACAGTGACACTGAAGCTCCTTTTCCCACCACACAGGACATAAATTAAGAATGGTAACATAAATTATTATGTTGTTGCTCGATTTTACTCCTTTGTAAACGACTTACTCCCTTGTGACAGAGTTTTGATAACATTCAGAAAACATTTTTATTGAACAGAATAGATGATGCACAGATTATAGGAGCAGGCTCATTTTGAGCAGGTATACATTTCAGGAAACCTTGTGGCGAATTTAAGAGAGAAACAGATTTAAAAACTACAGATTTAAAAACTACAGATTTAAAAACTACAGATTTAAAAACTACAGATTTAAAACAGGCTAGCAGTTAAAAAATTATGCCACATATTGAAGAGCAGAAGTGATTCCCGGTGGGTTATTTAAATTGTTTTAGGTTATGGCAAAAATAATAATGATAATGTGAGAATATGAAACAAATTCAGTTTAGTTCCATTTAAATAATTCATTTTATAAAGAATTATTCCACAGCAATAATTTGAGATCCCTCTGCCAGGAAATAATCAAAGTCAAAGCAGACACAATGAAATATTTTAGCTCTCTCTCTCTCTCTCTCTCTCTCTCTCTCTCTCTCTGTACATATATATATATATATATATATATATATATATATATATATATATATATACAAACACACACACTGGCTACTTTATTGGCCACGCCTCGCTAGTATCGTGTTGGACCCATTTTTGCCTTCAGAACTGCCTTAAGCCTTTGTGACATAGATTCAACAAGGTACTGGAAACATTCCTCAGAGACTTTGGTCCATATTGACATGATGACATCACACAGTTGCTGCAGATTGCAATTGCCTGCACATCCATGATGCAAATCTCCTGTTCCACCACATCCCAAAGGTTCTCCATTAGATTGAGACCTGGTGAGTGTAGAGGCCATTTGAGTACACTGAACACATTGTCATGTTTGAGAAACCAGTCTGAGATGATTCCAACTTTATGACATGGTGCATTATCCTGCTGGAAGTAGCCATCAGAAGATGGGTACACTGTGGTCATAAAGGAATGCACATGGTCAGCAACAATACTCACGTAGGCTGTGGTAATCAATTGTACTAAGGATGATCAATTGATCCTAATGTGATCAATTAGTACTAAGGGGCCCAAAGTGTGCCAAGAAAATGTCCCCTACACCATTACACCATCACCAGCAGCCTGAACCGTTGATACAAGGCAGTATGGATCCATCCATCCAAATTCTGACCCTAACATCTGAATGTCGCATTGAGACTCATCAGACCAGGCCACATTTTTGCAATCTTCTTTTGTCCAATTTTGGTGAGCATGTGTGAATTGTAGCCTCAGTTTCCAGTTCTTAGCTGACAGGACTGGCACCCGGTTTGGTCTTCTGCTGCTGTAGCCCATCTGCCTCAACGTTCGATGTGTTGTGCATTCAGAGATGCTATTCTGCATGCCTCGGTTGTAACAAGGTTATTTTTTTTTGTGTTACTGTTGTCTTTCTATCAGGCCAAACCAGTATGGCCATTCTCCTCTGACCTCTGGTATCAACCAGGCATTTTCACTCTCAGAACTGCTTACCCGTGTTCGGACTCTGTAAACCCTAGAGATGGTTGTGTGTGACAATCCCAAAAGATCAGCATTTTCTGAAATACTCAGGCCAGTCCGTCTGGCACCAATAACCATGTCATATTCAAAGTCACTTAAATCAACTTTCTTTCCCGTTCTGAAGTTTGGATCATCTTTACCATGTCTACATGCCTAAATGCATTGAGTTGCCACCAGGTGATTGGCTGATTAGTGTAATGATGTGTTAATTACATTTAATTAAGGACCATAAGACATTAAAATTCATATCGAGTATTAATTCCATCTTTTGGACCCTGGGTTATTTAAATCAGAAGATTGGATCTTTTTATTGCAGGGAATTTAGATAACACTTTGCATTAACTGTGACAAGAGAAGAGAGAGAGACCATCAAGCGTTTAAGGAAATTTATTACTAAATAATTTTAAACAATTTAACAAGACTAACTCTCTAATGATGGATGGTCTGTTTGAATGAAGCATGAGGTGGGTGGTGTGTGTGAATGAGTGTCATTCAGAACCCTCGCATCCGGAGAAACAAAGTCTGAGTGGGAGATGATGTTTTGCTCCTAACTGATCAGAGTTTGAGACTCGTAGTCATAAACACATGAGACGCCATTTATTCGCATCCACATACCCTCAGTGAGACCTCCATACAGATCCGGATGCCAGGTCCACAGACCCTCCTCTGGTACTGGAGCCGATGTAGCAGCGTCGACAATACGACAAACCAGTCTTTGGATAGTCTCCAGGTAAAAAGCGACAGGTGTTTCACAGCGTCACAAGGGGACCCGCCTTGGGTCAGCGAGTTCAGCTTTTATTCTGAAAGGTACTGTTGCTTGGTTGGTAACAAAACAACAGAATTTTCCCAGCTTGAATGGTTCTCAGCTTAAAAAGAGAAGTACAGAATGGCCGGTTCCACTTAACATACGATGAACTTCATGGGATCTTGAGAACGAGATCTTGAGTACCGAATTTAAGATGGCGTTGGAACTGTTTTATTAATCTGGATGTTTTTGATTCTGGACGAATCAAAGCTGACAGATTTATAAACACCACAGAGACTCTGCCACGCTTCAGACTAGGAAGGTTCTGATTGGCTCAGTATAGCAATGTGTCGTGATTGTTTTCCTTACGTGTGTCAGTGTGTCTAGTGACTAGATTAAGTCATATTACTTATTAAAACATTCATCATAATATTGTGATTTCACAGATCAGTCATATTGTATTATTGACTAACAGTTGTTTTGATTAGCTTTATTGAAAATAGAGTTCTTTGATTTAATAAAAGAAAAGAGTCTTCATCTTCTGTCTTCATTGCTGGAAAGTAAACAGTTTAGAAGCGAATGCATGACCTTGAGGCTGTTTCATGCACTCTGGCGCTGTGTCAAAGGGAACTGTGGAAAAGGTTAAATAACCTTGAAGGAATAGCTCCTTCAACACGTTACATTAGTAATTTTTGTTAACGAGCAGTTGGACAGGTGTACCCAATAAAGTGGCCAGTGAGTGTGAAAAAATCCCATCTCGCCCTCCACGGGTGGTCTCATCCTTTTCTGTCTGTCTGTCCGTCCGTCCGTCCATCCCTCTATCTATCTGTCTGTCTGTCTGTCTGTCCGTCCGTCCCTCTATCTATCTATCTATCTATCTATCTATCTATCTATCTATCATCTATCTATCTATCTATCTATCTATCTATCTATCTATCTATCTATCTATCTATCTATCTATCTATCTATCTATCATCTTATCTATCTATCTATCTATCTATCTATCTATCTATCTATCTATCTATCTATCTATCTATCTATCTATCTATCTATCTATCTATCTATCTATCTATCTATCTATCTATCTATCTATCATCTATCTATCTATCTATCTATCTATCTATCTATCTATCTATCTATCTAT